CAGATGCTGGTGAGAAAGGCTCCAGTGTGTTGTCTGACAATTGTTAAAATTACTTTGTAATAGCCGAGGAACAAGCGTGAATCTTCCTGATGGGAAAGCAGGCACCGGGTCCCGTGTGAAGCAAGGGGGTGGGGAGGATGTGTGGTGTCCAGACCACCAGGCGCTGCACACAAGCTGTGTGTGGTTGCCCCGGCTGCTCTGGGACATGGCCTTCGGCCTTCTTTGTAACCTCTCATGATTTCTGTTATTTTCTCTTGGCTTTTTATGATGATGATGATGATGACTGTAAAATCCATACTATGAGACCTAGCTCGTAGTTATAGGGATTCAGTGAGATAGTTACAAAACACCTTGGCAAAGTCCTGGGAGAGCTCTGGGCAGTGCTTGGTTCCAGTCCTAGAAAGCCATGTGATTGGGGGGAGGCAGGCAGTGTTTTTGAACTTCAGATTCTTCATCAGTAAAATGGATGAAGAGGCCTGCCTTGCAGTGTTATTGTGAAGATCACAGACCTGGATATAAAGCGGCTCACTAGGCTAATCATTCTGGACAATGGTGGATCTCATAGTTTAATCCTTAACTAGGAGGAGTGCCAGATTCTGTCCCGGTTGCCCCTCTTCCAGGCCAGCTCTCTGCTGTGGCCCGGGAGTGCAGTGGAGGATGGCCCAAGTACTTGGGCCCTGCACCCCATGGGAGACCAGGAGAAGCGGCAGCCATTGGAGGGTGAACCAACGGCAAAGGAAGACCTTTCTCTCTGTCTCTCTCTCTCACTGTCCACTCTGCCTGTCAAAAAAAAAAAAAAAAAAAAATAGCATGGAGCCGGACTGGAAGTAGAGCAGCCAGGACTTGAAACTGCGCCTATATGGGATGCTGGCATCACAGGCAGCAGTTTAACCAACTATGCCACAAGGCCAGCCCCTAGTATAAATTTACTGCCATGTAGTAAAACTGTCTGATATTGGTGCCTTTTGAGTTCCAAACTCAACCGTAGTTACACCAGCTGTGTTACTTAAATCCAGATACTGAAGGTGCCATTCTGTAACAGTTTGCAAAGCTGAATGTAAGAACAGGTACTTCTATGGTAATACTGAGGTACTTGGGGCCTTTTGTTTTAAATAATTCTACATATTAGATAGAATTTTATTTGCAGATACCAGAAAGTAATGACTCCTTGGCCATGAGCTCAGACCCACCTATTTCATTGTTACGATTTCTCAGCTTAGTCATGTGTTAAAAGGTAAAACAGAATATAATTACATTCTTGCCACCAATACCAATAATCAGTGTGGTCTTTAAAACTAGTTGTGGAGTATGTAATTGTAAATGCGTACACGGTAGGAAACTGTGACCTAAAAAGACCTTCAACAAAGCAAGTTACTCATTTCAGGCTTTTCGCGAGCACTAGTGTTATTTTAAGGCTTATTGTCACTACACTGCACATTTCTGAATTTTTGTCTACTTGTCATTAATTTTAGTAACCATATTTCAGAAATGATGTGGCTGCCTTTTACTGAAATAGGCACATCAATCCACATCTTGCTCTTTTTGTTTATATCTGCAGTCCTATTTAAATTCCGTATTTCCAACCACAAAAGGTGTTAGAAAATGCTATTTCAGGATGTCAGAGAAAAAGTACAGCAGGATGTGGTTCACATCTTAAACTGTATTTCTGCTTTCCTGTAACTAGCATTGTGCAAAAGAAAAAAAAGTTTGGCGATGAAATATTTAACAACTGTAGGAGCCAGCGGTTTCAGCGTTATTTTCGTTTTCTAAGCCTCTCTGCATAGGAAGCAGGAAGACTGTCGGTGAGGCTGAGGCCCCCTGGAGCGATGGTCCCAGACCCCACACTGAGAGCCGCAGCCTGTGCTGCCATTCCTCCCAATGCGGCTCTTCAGCACCTGGGCCTGCCTGGAGCAACCCTGAGCACAGATGCTGGTGAGAAAGGCTCCAGTGTGTTGTCTGACAATTGTTAAAATTACTTTGTAATAGCCGAGGAACAAGCGTGAATCTTCCTGATGGGAAAGCAGGCACCGGGTCCCGTGTGAAGCAAGGGGGTGGGGAGGATGTGTGGTGTCCAGACCACCAGGCGCTGCACACAAGCTGTGTGTGGTTGCCCCGGCTGCTCTGGGACATGGCCTTCGGCCTTCTTTGTAACCTCTCATGATTTCTGTTATTTTCTCTTGGCTTTTTATGATGATGATGATGATGACTGTAAAATCCATACTATGAGACCTAGCTCGTAGTTATAGGGATTCAGTGAGATAGTTACAAAACACCTTGGCAAAGTCCTGGGAGAGCTCTGGGCAGTGCTTGGTTCCAGTCCTAGAAAGCCATGTGATTGGGGGGAGGCAGGCAGTGTTTTTGAACTTCAGATTCTTCATCAGTAAAATGGATGAAGAGGCCTGCCTTGCAGTGTTATTGTGAAGATCACAGACCTGGATATAAAGGGCTTGGCCATGTAGGAGCTTGGACAATGGTGGATCTCATAGTTTAATCCTTAACTAGGAGGAGTGAAAAATTAAACTGCCTTTGTAAATCAGAGCTATGAGTTAAACAACCTTGGAAAGGAACCTTCGAATCACACGGGTTTGTGTTAAAAGACAGGATACCTGATGGGAGACCAGGAGAAGCACCTGGCTCCTGGCTT